TCAACGAGAGAATGAGAGTAGATATTGAAGGTTTCAAAGGCTGCGGTTTTTTTTTTTTCTTTTGTTGCTGAGGGTGCGTGTGTGTATATATATATATATACATATATATACCTTAAATAATTTAGGTTTAATTATCTTGTTGACCAAGATAAGGCACATTACACGCACGCACGCACGGAAAAGAAATCGGATCGACAATCGGGCTCGGTTAATATCGCACGATTGATAAAATAAAACCGGACCAATATATATATATAACACATTCTAATTAAATATAATACACATAATACATTAATCATTTATTTTAATCAATTAGGCACATTGGACAATTATATAAATATAAATATAAATAATAATAATAATAATAATAACAATCAAATAAACAATTAAAGGCAATTAGGCATTTAGCAAAATATTTATAATAACAACAATAGCAATAATAACTTAGGCTATTAAATAATAATAATAATAATAAAGACAATAAATAATAAATAACCCAATCATTCCATATTCAAACGGATTAAACCTGGGTCGCGCGATTAAACGCCAATCGCCTACGACGAACATTTTTCAATAGAGCGATCGAGTGCTCCGACCTATTATTCAAGTCGATGCCGCGACTAATAAAATATAATATATCCCTATAAATAATATTCGATAAATAGAATATTCCGAGAAATTCTATAAATCGAACGGGGCGTTACAGGATGAATGGCTTGTGAAATAGGTTTTCAGCAATGAAGATAGTGCAGCAATCTTGAACATCACATCTCTGAACCCCAGAAGGGATGAAAGAATTTTCTAGGGCCTGGACAAGAAAGGGCAATTTTCTGTAGCCTCCACTTATGCTTATCTGGTTCAACAGAAGGTGATTCAGCTTGACCTCCCTGAGTGTAGTGATCCCTCAAACCCTTGGCATAAATCTCTGCTAAGAAGCTGGTCTATGAAGGTGCCTGGGATGATTAAAACTTTTATGTGGAAATGTCTATCAGGTTCTCTGCCTGTGCTTACCAATCTCAAGCACAGAGGCATGGAGATAGATGTAATATGCAAATGATGTGGGAAAGGTCCTGAAACTCTTGAACATCTCCTTCTGAACTGTTCTAGAACCCAAAGAGTTTGGCAACTGGCTCCTGTCACCTGGCAAGGTCTATCAACTTAAACTAACTGCTTAAGATCATGGTGGCTGCATATATGCTCAATGAAGCATTCTGAGGTGGATGAACACAGAATTCAGCTGTCAACTTACTTGCTATGGTGGCTATGGAAGACCAGAAATACATGGATTTTTCAAGACTCTGTTCCCCCACCACACATTGTGGTAAAAGCTGCAGTAATGGATTGGATGGACTTCTCTCAAGCTAATTCTGCCGACTTTATTAGTTAGATAGATTTCTTTTGTTGTTTTTGCTTCTGTTTCTTTTTTTTTCCTTGATGTTGGCTAGGCTTTGTGGCAGTGGTCATCTCTTTTTTTCTCTTTGGTTTGCCTTCAGTTTGTTGAGGCTCTAGGATATCTTATTGATGCTCCTCTCATTTTATGGTTGTATTTGAACAGTTTCGAGCTTTGCTCGCTTTTAATAGTTATCTCTATCGTTTTGAAAAAAAAAGAATATATATTCCTATTTTATATTTTCTTACAGCTTAAGAGAACACATCAATCACCGAAGGTATAGATTACAACAACAATCCGTGAGTCTCATAATTTTATTCTTTCGCGGTCTTGTCCAACTGAATCGAGAATACACTACAGTCTTTTTCCAAGAGGTGTCTCACTGCTTGTCTAGACTGTGAACTAATAATTTAGTCTTATAAGGAACTGATAGGTGATTTTCTGTTTGAAACACTTCGAACCACACTATCTCAATATAAGACATGGAGTATGATTTGCATAAATAAATAAACTGCAAACATATGTACTTTGACTGAAACATGATGGTCAGATCAAAATGGAATCGATAGAATCTACAAAACATAGCTTTTACAGCATATCTCTAACAATCTCCCACTTATGCTTTATAAGCTCATGGCTATAACAAACTAACCATAATTTTCTTTCAATCTAATTCTCAAAGACTAGTCTACTATGTCGCTCTAACGTCTAACTCCCATTTCTTCTACGTGTCTTGTAAAGACTTTCGCTGGTAGGCTCTTCGTAAAAGGATATGCTAGGTTGTCCTCTGACTGTATCTTGGCAACAACAACTTCTCCTCGTCTAACAATTTCTCGTATCAGGCGGTGCTTGCACTCTATGTGTTTACTCGCTTTATTAGTCCGTGGCTCCTTCAAACTTGCTACTGCTCCGCTGTTATCACAGAACACTGTAATCGCAGCGGGCAAACTCGGCACCACATCAAGGTCGAGGAGAAAATTCTTGAGCCAGACTGCTTCTTTCGCTGCCTCTGAGGATGCTACATACTCAGCCTCCATGGTTGAGTCTGCCACGCATTTCTGCTTGACACTCCTCCGTACTATGGCTCATTCTCCTAAAGTAAACACAAACCCTGAGGTTGAATTGCTTTCGTCTCGGTCTGCCTAAAAGTCAGAATCGGTGTAACCTAAAGGAAGTAATTCATCTACCTGGTAAATCAACATGTGCTCCTTTGTCCTACGTAGGTACTTGAGTATATGCTTTACCGCAGACTAATGTTCCGGTCCTGGATTACACTCCTCCGTACTATGGCTCCTCCTCCTAATGTAAACACAAACCCTGAGGTTGACTTGCTTTCGTCCTGGTTTGCCTGAAAGTTAGAATCGGTGTAACCCAACAAAAGCAATTCATCTGACTGGTAAATCAACATGTACTCCTTAGTCCTACGTAGCTACTTGAGTATATGCTTTACCACAGACCAATGTTCCGGTCCTGGATTACTCTGATATCTTGCTACCATGCCTACGACATAACAAATATCAGGTCGCGTGCACAACATCGCATACATGAGGCTTCCTACTGCCGATGCATAAGAAACTGCCTTCATGTCCTCTACCTCTTGAGATGTCTTTGGGGACATCTTCTTAGATAGAGGTATTCCATGTCGAAAGGGTAAATCCCCTTTATTGGAATCCTACATGTTGAAACATTTTAGGACCGTATCTATTAATGTGGATTGGGATAGTTACAACTTTCTCTTCTCTCGATCCCGAATGACCTTGATTCTGAGAACATGTCCTACTTCTCCCAAATCCTTCATATCAAACTGCTTGGATAACCATACCTTTAAGTCTGATAACATCTTCACATTGTTTCCAATGAGAAGTATTTCATCCACGTACATCACAAGACACACCACCACGTTTCCATCACTTTTCTTGTACACAGAGTGCTCATCCGGACATTGGGTAAATCCATACGATTGGACATCCTCGCCAAAACGGATGTTCTAAGACCTCGAAGACTGCTTTAACCCATAAATGGACCTCTTCAGCTTGCAGACCAGATGATCTTGACGCTTTGTAATGAATCCTTTTGGTTGCTGCATATAGATATTCTCATCCAAATTCCCGTTAAGGAAAGCAGTCTTGAAATCCATTTGCCAAATCTCATAATCCATATGAGCGGCTACAACCAAGAGAATCCTGATGGATTTGAGCATGGCTACCGGCAAAAATGTTTCCTCAAAATCAATCCCCTCTTTCTGAGTGTAACTTTCGCAAAAAGTATACTTTGAAGGTCTCAACCTTCCCATCTGCTCCTCTATTTCTATTATAGACCCACTTGCATCCAATGGCGCAGACGCCACTGGGTAGCTCTACAAGATCCCAGACCTGATTAGAGTCCATTGACCCTATTTTAGATTTCATTGCCTTTTGCCAAGATTCTGCGTCCCGATCTTGGAGTGCCTCATTGTATGACCATGGGTCAGATTCAAGAACATCCAGGACGACCTCAGAAGACTCTCCCAGACCCGTGAACCGTTCGGGCTGCCGGACAACCATCCCACTACGACGAGGTACTACCTGCTCAGGTGCATCATCAGTGATACGTGTTGCAGTACTTTGTGGTGTAACATAAAGCGCACTCGGTATTAAAGTACTCACTCTCTTTAACTCCTCGAGGACATGTCTACTACTGGGCTTATGATCTAAGGCATAGTCTTCTTCCAAGAACCTAACATTCGTGCTAACAGTTACTTTCTGGTCCTCGGGACTATAAAATAGACCACATTTTGTTTCATAGGATACACCACAAACAGCCTTACTACTGTTCTTGGTTCCAACTTATCAGTATCGGTTCTCAGCACGTGTGCTGGACTACTCCAAATCCTGAGATGCCTTAGACTGGGCTTATGCCCAGACCACAACTCCAATGCTGTAGACAGTACTGATTTAAATGGTACTCTATTCATAATGTATACCGTTGTTTCTAAGGCATATCCCCAAAACGAATCTGGTAAAGTACTATAACTCATCATTGCCCTAACCATTTCCATAAGAGTCCTATTCTTCCGTTCTGCTACGCCATTCTGCTGAGGCGTGCCAGGCGCAGTCAGCTGGGATGTAATCCCATTATCCGTCAAGTAGTTCCTAAATTCATTTGAGAAATATTCGCCACCACGATATGATCGTAATGACTTCATACTTTTCCCTAACCGCTTCTCCACATCTGCCTTATACTCCACGAACTTCTAAAAGCATTCAAACTTTCAGAAGAACTCAAAAACACCTCTCGCTTGAACACTCATAGGACCACATAGATCGGAATGAACTAGTCCTAACACATCTTTGGCTCTATGCCCCTTTGTACTAAAAAATCTCTTTGTAATTTTGCCTTCCAGGCAAGACTAGCAAATTGAAAAGGCCTCAACTTCTAACGACCCCAAGGGCCTGTCTGTTACCAACCTTTGAATCCTCCTAGGGTTAATATGACCAAGTCTTAGATGCCAAAGATATGTTTTGTTCATTTTGGAAGGTTCCTTTCTCTTATTCAAATTAGATGATGAATTAAGTAATTGTTTCTATTGCAGTGGAGATGACTTAGATTCAAGAATGTATAGATTGTCAACTAATGAACCAGAACATATGAACTTTTTGCCAAAACAAATAACAACTTTATTATCGAAAGTAGCAGAAAAACTGTTCATAAACAACTTAGAAACTGAAATTAAGTTCTTTCTAAAACTAGGAGCATAAAGACAATCTTTCAAAACTAGAAACCTATCTAAGCCAAAATCTAAATAGACGTCTCCCACTGCAACTGTTGACGCTCTACTAGCATCACCAAAGTAGATGGTAACTTCTCCTTCCCTAAGTCGCTCGATTTCCTGGAACCTCTGCATTGAATTGCAGACATGATCAGTGGCTCCCGTATCTACACACTAGGTTCTCGTAGATAAAACCGCTAAACATGTTTCAACGAGTAAAGAAAAAGATATATCTTTGTTGATCTTCTTGAGGAGAGGGCAGTCTGCCTTCCAGTGTCATTTCTGCTGGCATCTGTGGCACTTGCCTTTCGGCTTCTTCGCCTTCTTTCGAGGTTGCGCGTCATTCATGACCGCCTTGCACTTTTCTGCGGACTTCTTCCTCTTCTTTCCCTTATGAGCCTTTGAAGTGGAAGCTTCTTCCGGCTGGGCCACCATATGTAATGCCCCGTTCATTTATGAATAGTATTCGGATTATTTAGTTATTGATTTCATTATTATTATTTAAACTACATGTCTAATTGCCTAATTGATATTATGTGTTTAAATGCTTATTATTATTATTATTATTATTATTATTATTATTATTATTATTATTATTATTATTATTATTATTATTATTATTATTATTATTATTATTATTAACCTAAATATCTAAAGTGATTAATTTCTTAGAAATATATTATATATATTATTTGTGTGTATTATTATGTATTATACCCATTATTTAATCATTTTTGAACCGTTTCGACCGAACCTTGAGCTCTGCTATTCTCGACCCATTGCTATCAATTTTGGTCCATTCCTAACTCTCAAACCGACCTCCTTCAAATCTCTCAATTTTCGTCTCGATATATTTCCCTTCCTCTACTAGAAATTTCTCTCCTCTCCTATTACTTGGTATCACTCGAAAATCTGAGGAAAACTAAAAAAAAATATCTTTTCCCTTCTCGCAGTGCGCCTTCTTCATCACCATCGCAGATAAGAGAAAGGAAAAATTTGCTCTCCATCCCTCTCAAAATCCGACCACCATCATCAACAGTGAGACCATCTCCTCCGAACAGCACCGGCCGGCTCCTTTCAACAGCAACAACCTTGAGCCTCTGTTCATTCGATCGAGCATTATCTCAATTTTCCCTCTATGCGAATAACAGCCGAGAACACCTTGTACGCAATTGCTTTCTGACGATTTTCTGCCACCGCGAGCAGCAGTTGAGAGCAGCGCCACATTATCTCTCTCGCAAACCCTAAGCCATCGCAACACCATCGTTCAACACCTTCATTGTTGCCCATGCGTAGACCATCAACATCGCTCGTCTTCCCAGCAACCCGATACTTATTCGTGAGACCACCAGCGCCGGCAAGAGAACCAGCAATCTACCTCCGTCTCAGCTCATGAGTCGTAGCCCCGACTATCTCCCATCGCTGCGCACCCCTTGCTGTTCCGCGTGCGTTACCCGCGAGCCCGATACTCCGTTCCCGCTGTTCGTATATTGCCCTGCGTTTTCCCTTGTTGTCCATCATTGCCGAACCTGTTCATCGCTGCCAGGCCCCCGCTGATCACTCGCACAACCTTCGAGTGAGCTGAAACTAAGCCGTTAAGCCCCGTCGGTGCATTCGTGAAGCCGTTACAGCCCCGTTTTGATTATTTCGTTCGAACGTTTCCCGAGAACGGTACCTAGGCTCGAACCCCATTTCGTTTGATGTCGTGATTTGTGATTGTGTTATATTACGTGCTAAGTTGCTGAACGTGTGAAATACGAGTTAATTACGTGCCTTAGATATGTGTTTGTATGAATTTTGATATATTTATATGCCGTTTTGGATATCAAAGTGATTGCCGTCACTTTGGTTGTTATCGAACTGAGTTTTGAGTGGTATTTTTCTTGTAAATCTTAGATTTATAAGTACTTGTAGTTGTCCTTGGTTCATTGGTTTTGGTTTGAGGTCGTTTCGATATGTATATCATGAGTTATTAATTTTCTAAACCGACCATGCTGCTGAATGGTAATTAATTCATGATAAATCGTGTGATTGTTCGAATACCGTGAAATTTTATATGTCATTTCCTGTGCTTATTTTGTAACTCGTGTAAAGTTTTCAAGTCGAAACTCCATCTGTAGCTATTTTAATTAATTATATCAGTTTCTAATCAGAATTTTTTAAAATTCATTAAAAATCGTACACTTGGTGTTTTAAGCTAAAACAGTGAGGAGTATTTTATTTTGTGGTATTATGTCTTCTGTTAAAATTATAGATTAAAATTCAAAGTGTAGCTATATGAACTATTAATGTCGGGTTTTGACACTGTTTTTGCTTAAATTATTTAAAAATGCTCCCGGATGAATTTTTGGCTAAAACATGGTGAGCTTAAGTGTTTTTGTATGCTCTATGATATGGTAAAGTTTCAAGTTAATTGGTTGAGTCTAACTCCAGATTCTATATTTTGTTTATTTAGGAGTTTTAATGCTCGGTTATCCGTCGTCTAGGTTCGAGATTGGATTTTATTGATGTTGGCATGATTTATCTGTTTTACCTAAGGTATAATAGTTGTGTTCAAGTCTAGTAGTCACTCCATTGTACTTAACCCGGTTAAGAAAACCACGAGTCACTTAGTCGATATGATTTCGGCTAAGTATATATGCTTTGTGTGTTGTTTTTGTGTTGAATAGTCAGTTGATAGGCTATTATAATTGTTGTAGGTTCTTTGAGCTGAACTTTTGTCATAATTCCTTCAACCTTGTGTTTGGCTATATCTCGGTATCCAGGTGGGTTATTCAAAATTGTCTATGCCTTGAATGATAATTACTTTATTTATGTGGGTATGATCAATGTATGCATGTGAGCATGTAATCTTTGATGTGAGTTGTACCGGTCGTCGAACAGTTATCCCCGTAGCTATAGAACGTACCCTGCAAGGGTAATCTCCATATTTGTCCTTGGTTAAGGACCACGTCATTTGTAAGACCTCGACAATGTGCCCTGGCCAGGTGATGGATATCCTGTTCAGCACTAGGTGCGTGCTGTAACGGTTGAGCCTCCTGCTGTTTGCATACCCCATTTATGTTCCCTGAAAGGCATACGAGCAGCAGTCTATAGTTATAGGTGTGCACATGAGAAGTACTTTGGTTAGGAGATGGGATGTTTATTGATTATGTTCATACTGCGACCATGCCATTTAATTCCTCGTATATTATTATTGTTCATGTGCATAGTAGTGAGCACTACAGTTCAATGTGCTCACTCCCACCTGCTCTTCATGGATGCAGGTTAAACAGGTGTTGGCTGACGAGACAAAAGACGAGTGGTGTTGGTATTTATGATTTATGACTTTGGAATTTTGAGAACATTGGATTGGGAGATGTTCCCTTATGAATAATTTGGATGAACTTGGGATTTATGAAAATATTGGATTTATGATTTACGTTATTTATGTAATTTAGTTTGAGTAGCGCCACTGATTTATGAAAAGGTTTCGAAAAATTTCAGTTGACTTTTTGACTTTCATCAAAATAAAAGTGGGGCGTTACAGTTTGGTATCAGAGCCAGTCTGTGTTTTTGTAGATTGCTCAACGTGATTTATGTGCATTTATGAATATATAAGTATACGCATTGACCACTCATCTTCGTTACACCGCACCGCTTAAGGTATGTAAGTCATAAGTGATGTTCAGATTACTTATGAAATGTTTGTTATTTAAAAGTATGTGTTATATTTGGGGCTTAGGATATATCCACTTATGATTTAAGCGAATTCTAGTGTTTATGAAGAACTCTAGAATGCTAATATTTGTGCTAAACTTTTCGGGCCATTTATAATGTAGAACTAAGGCTCCCAACACCCACAACAATAACCAGCAGCAACCACCTCCCCCGCCTCCACCTCCTCCTCAGCAGCAGGCCCCGGGTAGAGATCCCATTACCCAGTCCGTGCTTGATTTCCGTAACATGCATCCACCGGCATTCACCGGGGTTGAGGGCCCCGAAGCTGTGGCTGAATGGCTTCAGCAGCTGGAGAGTATCTTCGATCTGTTGTTCACCAATGATGTGGTGAAGATCCGCTATGCTTCGTTCATGATGACCGGAGATGCTAGGACTTGGTGGAATGACTATTGGAGGCTTCATCCTCGTGCTGAGAGGGATGCCTTCACTTGGGACCAGATGGCCAGCCAGGCATCCCTCAAAAACCAACTTATAGTTCACTTAGCAGAACCTAACCCAAATTTTATTGCCTCAATCACTGGTTCATCTTCAAATTCCCCAGCAGACCCTGTTATTACATCAGGATCCTCAAAATTAATTCCTCAGATAGAAGAACCTGTCAAACTCATGGAAATTGAAACTAGAGTTCCTTTAACTATCATGGCCAGTACTTCTAGGACACCTGACAAAGGCAAAGGCATTCTAAAAACATGGAAAAGAGTTGGATCAAGGGAAGGTCGTCTGCAAAGACAAGAGAAACAACTTGACTCTCCTCAACATGGCAAGAGAACCAGAAACATAGCAGAACTCCCTGAGAACAAAGAGGAAGAAATTGATCAAGGGCTGCCAGATACAACAAATAAGAAATTGAAAGCAAGAGCAAGGGAGGTGGGGGCGGCCAGCCTTGAATGGCGCCCATGTTCTCAATGTTAGCTGCGGTGTGGAACAATAAAGGGTTGGGTTGGCCCTCTACAGTTTCCCAAATCAGAGAGATAGTAAGGTCTCATCACCCAGCTTTTATTTTCCTTTCTGAAACTAAAAAGTCTAATGCTTTTGTTAAAACTGTGGTTAGAAAGTTAGGCTTTGAGGATAGGTTCTCTTTGGTTGATCCTCAAGGTCTTAGGGGGGGTTTATTGCTTTTTTGGAACCCTGATGTACATATTATCCAGATTTTATGTTCTTCTTTTTTCATTGCTGTCCATTTTAATCTTCCTTCTTCTGAACCCCAATGGGGGATTTTTGTGTATCTGAGTACCTGTGAAATCCAAAGGGCATCTCAATGGGACTTATTAGCTTCTAAAAAATGTAAATGGGGTGCACAATGGTTCATGGCAGGGGATTGGAACGACCTTAGTTCCATCTCTGAGAAGTTATGGGGAGTATCTAGGCCTGCCAACAGTTTTCTGGGTTTCAGATCCCTTATTGACACCATGGAAATGGAAGAGATTAAGATGTTGGCTACCAATATACTTGGTGCAACAATAGAGGCCCTCAGTCCAATGTTGAAGAAAAGCTTGATCGAGCCTTTGGCTCTCTAGAGTGGATGCAGTCTTTTCCTAATGCAAAAGTAATAAATGTGGTGTCTTGTTCCTCTGATCACTCCATTATTCTAGTGGTCCAGGGTCTGCTCAGAGAGAGAAGACCTAGAAGATTTCAGTTTGAAAGAAGATGGATTGGCAAAGCAGACCTTTTTGATGTGGTTTCTCAGGCATGACTTCAACCTATTACTGGGACTCCTTTCTTTCACTTTAAGGGAAAAGTGAAGAATACAAGACTTGCTCTTCTGAATTGGAGCTCTCAATTCCATACTCAGAACCAACTTCAAATTGCCTCTCTATCCCATAAGCTGCAAATTCTAAGGGAAGACAAGGATGACTCCAAGTGGGAAGACTGGAATAAAACCAGAAGAGATCTAGACAAAGCTCATCATCAGGAGGCTCTTTACTGGCAGCATAAAACTAAATTTCACTGGCTCAAGCATGGAGACTGCAACTCCAAATATTTTCATGCTTACACATCTCAAAAGAGGAGGATGAATGCTATTACTAGGCTTATTAATGCAAGAGGTGAGGAATTAACATCCCAGGCTGACATCCAGGAGCACATTGCTGAATTCTACAAGTCTTTATTCTCTTCAGAAGGTTCATGGGGAGGGGATTCCTTAATGCAGCTGATTACTCCATCCATCACTCAAGAAATGAACCAAACTCTTATGTTATCTGTGGAAGAAGAAGAGATGAAATCAGCTCTATTCAGCCTTCACCCTGACAATGCCCCTAGAGAAGATGGTATGAATGCTCTTTTCTACCAACACTTTTGGCAACTCATTAAATATGATTTTATTGCTGCTGTGATGAGTTTCTTTCACTCTGGACAAATGCTTCAATACTGGAACCATACCATTCTTTCACTGATTCCTAAATGTGATTACCCTGATTCTATGAGCAAGTTTAGACCTATAAGTCTTTGCACAGTGGTTTACAAGGTGATTTCTAAAATTCTTGCCCAAAGATTAAAAATCTGTTTAGATGGTTGTATCAGTGGGTATCAATCAGCTTTTATCAAGGGCAGACAATTATTAGACAATATGATAATTGCTCAGGAGGCCTTTCACTACTAAAACAGACATTCCTATGGTAAGAACTACTTCATGGCCTTAAAGTTAGACATTATCAAAGCCTTTGACAGACTTGAGTGGATTAGCATCAAGAAGATCATGATCCAGATGGGATTCCACCTTGACTTTGTTAATCTTATTATGGCCTGCATTTCTACCACTACTCTGGCTTTTAAAGTTAATGGGGATATCAGTGGGTTTGTCACCCCCTCAAGAGGTATCAGGCAGGGAGACCCACTCTCCCCTTATTTATTTATTATAGTGGCAGAATTGCTCTCAGCTCTAATTCAGAATGCCACAAGCTCTGGTCTCCTTAAGGGCTTGAAACTCTCTCAGTCTGGACCCCAAATTTCTCACCTCTTATTTACAGACGACTCATTATTCCTCTGTAAGGTAGGGTTTGATCAAGCTGGGGTTCTTTTAGACCTTTTGAACAAGTACAAGCTGTTTTCTGGCCAATCTGTGAATTTGGACAAGTCTGACATCTTTTTCAGCAGGAAGACTCCCTCTCATCTCAAAGAAAACATTTGTGCTTCATTGATCCACAAGATATCTGGGATTGCCCCTTGGCATTGGCAAATCCAAGAAGGAAGTTTTTGCTTATTTTATTGAGTCCACACAAAGCAAACTTCAGAGCTGGAAATCTAAACTTCTATCCTCAGCAGGCAAAGCAATTCTCCTCAAATCTGTTCTGCATGCATTGCCTATATTCACAATGTCTTGTTTCAAATTGCATGTTTCTGTCTGCAATGCTTTATCAAGTCTATGGGCACTATTCTGGTGGAATAATAACAATGATGCTAGCAAAGGGATTCACTAGAGAAGCTGGTCCAAAGTAACAACTCCTAAACTGAATGGTGGCCTTGGCTTTCTGGACATCAAGCTATTCAATGCAGCCTTGATTTGCAAGCAACTCTGGAGAATCACTTCCCAACCTGACTTACTGGTGAACAAAGTTCTTAAAGAGAGGTATTTTCCTAACACTTCAATTTTCCATGCCACTAAATCCCAGAAGGGTTCCTGGCTTTGGAACTGTTGGTTAGATATCCTCCATTTTTTTTCTAAATGGCTGAAAGTGGAGATAAGAAATGGTGCAACCACTAGAATTAATGACTTGAATTGGGTTCCAAATTTGCCTAAAGCTTCACCTGACTTACTGGAGATTGCTAGAGATCATCTGATATTTCTAAAAGACCTTATGCTACCTTCTGGTTTAGGCTGGGATGAATGGCTTGTGAAACAGGTTTTCAGCAATGAAGATAGTGCAGCATACTTGAACATCACATCTCTGAACCCCAGAAGGGATGACCAAATTTTCTGGGGCCTGGACAAGAAAGGGCAATTTTTTGTAGCCTCCACTTATGCTTATCTGGTTCGACAGAAGGTGATTCAGCTTGACCTCCCTGAGTGTAGTGATCCCTCAAACCCTTGGCATAAATCTTTGTTGAAAAGCTGGTCTATGAAGGTGCCTGGGAAGATTAAAACTTTTCTGTGGAAATGTCTATCAGGTTCTCTGCCTGTGCTTACCAATCTCAAGCACAGAGGCATGGAGATAGATGTAATATGCAAATCATGTGGGGAAGGTCCTTAAACTCTTTAACATCTCCTTCTGAACTGTTCTAGAGCCCAAAGAGTTTGGCAACTGGCTCCTGTCACCTGACAAGGTCTATTCACTTACACTAACTGCTTCATATTATGGTGGCTGCATATATGCTCAATGAAGCATTCTGAGGTGGATGAACACAGAATTCAGCTGTCAACTTACTTGCTATGGTGACTATGGAAGACCAGAAATCAATGGATTTTTCAAGACTTTGTTCTCCCACCATACATTGTGGTAAAAGAATGGATTGGATGGACTTCTCTCAAGCTAATTCTGCAGAATTTATTAGTTAGATAGCTTTCTTTTGTTGTTTTTGCTTCTGTCTCTTTTTTTCTTCTTGATGTTGGCTAGGCTTTGTGGCAGTGGTCATCTCTTTTTTTCTCTTTGGTTTGCCTTCAGTTTGTTGAGGCTCTAGGACATCTTATTGATGCTCCTCTCATTTTATGGTTGTATTTGAACAGTTTTGAGCTTTGCTCGCTTTTGATAGTTATCTCTATCATTTTGAAAAAAAAAAGAATATATATGCCTATTTTATATTATCTTACAGCTTAAGAGAACACATCAATCTCCGAAGGTAAAGATTACAACAACAATCAGTGAGTTTCATAATCTTATCCTTTCGCATCCTGTTCAACACTTATCATAAGTGCTAGTGTAATTCTTCAGTCAAAGACCAACTGAATCGAGAATACACTACAGTCTTTTTCCAAGAGGGGTCTCACTGTCTGTCTAGACTGTGAACGAATATTTTAGTCTTATAAGGAACTGATAGGTGATCTTCCGTTCGAAACACTTCGAACCACAATATCTCAATATAAGACATGGAGTATGATTTGCATAAATAAATAAACTGCAAACATATGTACTTTGACTGAAACATGATGGCCATATCAAAATGGATTCGATAGAATCTGCAAAACATAGCTTTTACAGCATATCTCTAACAATCTCCCACTTATGCTTTATAAGCTCATGGCTATAACAAACTAACCATAATTTTCTTCCAATCTAATTATCAAAGACTAGTCTGCTATGTCGCTCTAACGTCTGACTCCCATTTCTTCTACGTGTCTTGTAAAGACTTTCGCCGGTAGGCTCTTCGTAAAAGGATATGCTAGGTTGTCCTCTGACTGTATCTTGGCAACAACAACTTCTCCTAGTCTAAAAATTTCTCGTATCAGGCGGTGCTTGCACTCTATGTGTTTACTCGCTTTATTAGTCCGTGGCTCCTTCGAATTTGCTACTGCTCCGCTGTTATCAAAGAACAATGTAATCGCAACGGGCAAACTCGGCACCACATCAAGGTCGAGGTGAAAATTCTTGAGCCAGACTGCTTCTTTCGCTGCCTCTGAGGATGCTACATACTCAGCCTCCATGGTTGAGTCTGCCACGCATTTCTGCTTGACACTCCTCCGTACTATGGCTCTTCCTCCTAAAGTAAACACAAACCCTGAGGTTGACTTGCTTTCGTCTCGGACTGCCTGAAAGTCAGAATCGGTGTAACCCAAAGGAAGCAATTCATCTGCCTGGTAAATCAACATGTACTCCTTAGTCCTACGTAGGTACTTGAGTACATGCTCTACCGCAGACCAATGTTCCGGTCCTGTATTACTCTGATATCTTGCTACCATGCCTACGACATAACAAATACCAGGTCACGTGCACAACATCGCATACATGAGGCTTCCTACTGCCGATGCATAAGGAACTGCCTTCATGTCCTCTTGTTAGAGGTATGCTGTAAAACCGATGTTTGGCAGTTTCTATCAATTCCATTTTGATCTGCCAATCATGTTTCGGTCAAAGTAAATATGTTTGCAGTTTATTTATTTATGCAATACATACTCCATGTCTTATATTGAGGTAGTGTGGTTCGAAGAGTTTCGAACAGAAAGATCACCTATCGGTTCCTTATAAGACTAAACTATTTGTTCACAGTCTAGACTGGCAGTGAGACCCCACTTGGAAAAAGACTGTAGTGTATTCTCGATTCAGTTGGTCTTTGACTGAAGGATTGCACTAGCACTTATGTTAAGTGTTGAACAGGACCACAGAAGGATAAGGATATGAGACTCACTGACCGTTGTCGTAACCTAGACCTTCAGTGATTGATGCGTTCTCTTAAGCTGTAAGATAATATAAAATAGACATATATTTTTATTCCTTATTTATTTGATTTACCAAGTGATTCCTATTTTAATAGGATGACATACGAGGTATTTTGGTAAGTAAGAATAATTATATGATGTGCTATTATAAATTATTTATGGTCACTATGTTCCAGTGCGCTGGATTGATGACGTCGCCGAAATGAGCTCAGGAAGGAACATTATGTTAAACCCTGCAGGTAGACGATTGTCTGACATAATGGTTAAAGTCTGAGTGGTACTAATTTCGGAAATGAATAAGAAGTTGATTAATTATTTTGTCAGTAATTTAATTAATCAACTGTAACACCCCGCTAGCTTATTAAAATTAGAGTTAAATTTTCGCAAATTCTTTTCTAAAAAGACTTATTAGTTTGCAAAATCGTGACTCGGGATGCTATAGAAAAACATTTTTTTTTTCTAAAAATCCATTAACTTTACTAAATTAAAACTTATTAAGAAAAGCAGATTATCTTTTATCAAACCGGCATGTAATACTGTATAGATCCGACCAGAAAGTTTGGATCAAAATCTGAAAACTAACATGCGAGTTTGAAAGTCTGAAAACGTCAGCGGAAGTAACAACGTGGCAAATAATATACATATCATAAGTTTGCAAAAGCATGTGTATATATATATA